AGCGTCTTTATAAGTGGGCTAGACGCTTTTGTTTTGTAGTTGTCTGACATGCGGCCAGCAACTATGATAACGATACGTACATGCATGACATCGCCTAAAGGAATGATGCTGAAAAGTCGAAGGAAAAACTAGAGAAAACATCTCTTATAACAGAAACTTGTCTACGGACGATAACAAACATCCAATCCAAAAAAATCCAGAGAAAAAAAAAAACAACGCTGTCGAACGTCCTCAATACGTACGGTATTGCAGCTGTGCCAATGAATGAAGATAATCTGATTTTTGTGAAAAAAAAAAAAAAAAAAAGAAGAATTTGTTTCGTGTTGGCTTGTCTCTATATCGTCATCGAATTCAGTATTAATGTTTCTGTTAAAAATCTTCAAGCTACGGACGAACAAATCGAACGAAATAAAAAACCTGAAGAGATGAATGAGTTATGTCGCTTATTTACAAGCATTCATGGAATGAGCGTGTAAGCGTGCATGATGACGATACATGACGAGATGACGTAATGTTGAAACAGCATTGTATGCCAATACGAGTAAAAAAATTGCTTCAAACAATTCGTATACACTCTATTTCTATAACAATTAGAAATACAGGGTCACATCAGCATATATATAATATATGATATTACGATTAAGAGACTACAACAAAGAAGTGATACATAGAGGCCAACCTTTTATCTGGAAAATTAACGATCATATCTTGTCTCTAAATTAACTTTCATTATTCTTACCAGTGACCCTAGTCACAACATTTTACTTTCGTGGCGCACACTAGGAACGGATCACTCAGGCCACTTTCTAGGTCCCGATGTCATTGTTTGTTTCCTTTCTGACGCCAATTTCGTCATCACTGTCGTTGCTGACTGAAGTAACGTGGACCAGCACGATCATAGAGGGCCCAACAGCGGCCGCCTTTCAATAGTCCTAGGCTAAAAAGCGGGTAACTGTGTGAGTTTCAATGAACAGAACAATATCCGCTGACAGCTGGGTTGCGGCCGGCGAGTTTTTTTGTTTGAAGGAAGGAAGAAAGGTGGTCCTACTTTGCTGACTCTCGTTGTGTGACACTGGTTAGTTGAAGTGTCTGTTATTAAACTTCTTACAGGTTTCTATGTCTTGTAGGGGGGGTCGCAGTGGGAGGATGATCACTTTCTCGCCAAGACAAATGTTTCCTGAGAATGATAGTGACCTTTGTTTTAAAGTAACCGTCATACACACTACGCAGGTAAGCCATCGCCCACCCCAAATCACTGTCTTGGGTGTTACAACATTGAGCACTGCTTCAGATGGCTAGTCCTTTCTAGGACGAAACGAAGCGTGCCTATCGAACCTAGGCCGCTACATAGTGTCAAGTTTACTAAGGGAAAACTTTAGCACCGCACTAACTACGGGGTCGCGTACCCTAAGCTTGATTAAACAACGACTCTGATTGAAGGCGAGTAAAGCTGAAGCTAGAGGGCAAAAAACAAACAACCAAAATAAGAAGCCATATTGATACAAGTCTGTGCATTTACAGGAAAGGACAACAAAGGCGGATATCTATATACATGTGACGAAACGTCAGTTTTTTGCTATAACGACAGATAGAGGCGCTGATTACTGTATTAATTTATGGTCCAGCGCACAGGTAACCTATGTGATAGTATTTAATTTACGTAAGAATATTTTTACTACTTAATATTTATCTAGCTAAGATATTATTCAATTTTGACACTAAAGAATCATAATCATAGCGTAATAGTAACAGTGGATGGATAACGAAATCTAGGAGAATATCATGCAGCTGTGCTTCCCTCCTTCCGAAGTAGGTAGTAAGGTATTGTACACACAACCTTAAAAATCCCAATCGTCATTTTAGGTTCATCGCCCGTTTTTTTCCTGTGGCTTAAACCTGATCGAAAGATAATCGCTACGAGCCAAACGATTTCTCAAGGAGCTTGTTCTTGCGCATTTCAAAGCGATTGATGACGCTTTTTTTAGGAAGCAACCAACGACAGTTTAGTATCGGCAGCTGATTAAGTATTGGCTCTCTATTTAGCCTGCATTTATATTCGCCTAGGATTGTCGTCTAAAATCTACTTCTACAACCTAAGTGATAGCGGTACCAACCGAACTGGCTCGTTAGCGGGCTAATAGTTCCAGTTTACTAGAGAGGACTATTCTATATCGGTCAAAAGACTCTTCGCGCATTTACAGATCTATCTCTCGTCTCTATCCCGAATGAGATGGCAACTTCGCCTTCTTTGAGCTCTCGAATTAGTAGTAGTTTGGCGGTAACGCCGATGCGATTTTAATTGTATAGTCATAAGACGCACACACAATGTGTTACATTTCTGTAACTATTATGAACTTTCTTCAACCTTCGACTCCTCGAAAAGGAACGGTCGGCCCATCCTGAGTAAGCCTTTTGCAGCCATCGATGTCCCTCTAGTAGGACAATGTATAAGAGTGGGCCTTAAAGCATTATCATTCGTAGCACCATAGAGAACTTCTGCCATTTTTTTAGTTCGCTCGGATCCAGACTTCACGGAGCGGCTCTTATCCCTTTGGAGAGATTTCGCCCTTCGTTTCAGCTGGACGCTCAGCGCATTAGCGGCGTACCGCTGCGGTCCTGGCACGTGAGTTGTAACAGACATTACCGAAGCGTTCGGATCATCTGTCAGTAGCGAGCCGACGTGCGATCAACCGGACCGGTCATGAACACCTTAAATGCATAAAGATCCAAAGTGTTGACTTTTTTTTCTCAAAGAACAACTGCAACCTTTCCTACCGGTCCTGAATCTGCGTTACATGCTGGTTGTCGTACGTCAGTACAATAGGCGGCAGGCGTTACCATCAAAGAAAGGTCGGTATCAGGGCGATAGCAGCATACAGCAGTGTACATATACCGACTGGCTAGCCGATATCGCCGTCGCTATGGATGCAGTCCCGTGCTGCGCTACTGACGTCTTTAAGCGTTAGTCAGGCAGGCCTCACTGTGTTCTTTTAGCCTTTAACTTTGCGCCCTCGTAAAATATCAATTTGAAACGCGAAGACCATCTGCCTGTACGATGGTTGACTTGGGATGTTGTTTCTGCTGCTGTTGAGTTTGGCGGCGGCCTTAGCTAGAAAAGGCATGCCTCACTCGGGTTCTATAGCCAATGTCAGTCAGTACCTAGTGACTCGATTAGCGATGGGTTCTTGTAGTAGTCGGTGGCCAAAAAGCTGTCGTCCCGTGTCTCGCTTTGACTGTCTGTCTGTCTGACCGTCGGCATCGTTGTACGCGACTAGGATCAGTGCCGCTGGCGCCATCAACAACAACATTATAAAATGGGCACGACTATAGGCGAGCGAAAGCAGATATAAAACAAAAGATCGAGAAGATATGCCGTCGTTTTTCATAGGACTCCATAAAATATCTCATGAAGACTCCATTGAAGAAGAAAAGCTGTGTGTCATGAAAATAGACGAGAATTAAAAACCTACCTGGAGATACAGCACGCAGCTCTAACCCCGCGAGCTGTTGGTGGGTATGCCAATAGTCCTACACAAGGGACAAGCGGTTGCGATCGAGGTCTTACAGCCGACTGTGAGTGTCGCTGTGTGCGCACCTTAACGCTCGTACATGGCTGGCTGTGCATATGTACCATTGGGTGATGAGTGCGCTGTGTGTTGTGCGGTACGAGTTGGTTTCTCTCGGCCACCAGCTTGAGTTTCGACGCCCGATGAGCCTCGGCTTCGGGCTTGGGTGTGGCACCACTCTGACTGCATCTAGCCGAAAAGAGATTCTCGGCTCGCTCAGCTAGGGGTCTACTATCCTAGAGTGTTCCCGAGATGGTTAGGCTATACGACAGCCCCGATCAGTGCTGAATCATAACATATAGTACTGCCTCTAATGCAGGACTTAGTGGGCCTGTACCGTCTGCTGCTGTGGCGGCTTCTAATTCGGTGGCGATGCAACCAGCTTAGTCTATAAAGAGCGGCCTGGATTCATCCTGGACAATGATGCTGACTTTGCCTGCTTATTTCTACTTCTTGTTATTGTTGCCTACGGAGTCCTTCAACCAGTCCTGCTCACCTCGCATGCTTTGTCGCTGATCTCGTTCAACGGTACATCCATCTCTGGCGGGGTTGCTAGCTCTAATCGACGATCTGGTTGGTTGATCTTTTTGCACACGTTTCCCCTCTGCTAGCTAGCTTCGGTCCCTATACAACTTCTTTAGGTTGAGGAGCTTGGCTCTGAAGTTGCTGTCCACCGAGGAGGGCCTCCTTCCTGCTCCCTCCCATAATGTAGCTAATGTGAGCAAAGGAAAACCTTTGGCCGACCAAGCTCAGAGGTCGACAGTCCGTCCATCTAGTATATGCGTGCATGTGTGTAGGAGTGTCAAGGCAGGGGATTCCTGCCGTTAGGATGTCAGCAAAAAGCGTCGGAGAAGATGAAGTGAATTTTGAGTCAGATATGAAGTTCGCAGATTGACAGGTCAGGCTCAACGTGCTCACTTCACATTGGTTGAGGTAATTGAAGCCAATAGCAGGATAGAACCGATTAAAAGATAGAAACGATGGATAAGCGGGACGGAAACCAGATGCAAAGTTGCTAATATAGCGTTATAAAGTGACAGCTCACAATTTGAAAGTCTTTTAATCGATGATGAAATCACATGTTCCATAGTTTATATAAGTTGTTAGTATTAGAAATAATTCTACACAACACAAATCAACAACCCAAAATATAATAGAGTCATCATAGGATCAACTAATTTAGATCTGTAACTGTAGGCCTGCTGAGCAATGGCTCAATAAGCATTGTTATATTGGAAACGGACTTCGTCATTTTATCAGTGTCCTCTCCAATACAATGCGGGAACTAATCACGATACATATTACAAGAACTTTAGTGGGAGAACTGTAGTAATAAACATTTAAATCAGTTATCATTGGCCATTTAAAAAAACGAACCCAACTAGGCTTTTCGACTGACCGTGTACATCTGCTATCTGTTTATCTCTATTTCAGATGTGGCAAGACATCGAGTCCTTCCTTCTTGACGACGTACACCCCGATGTGCGCGTTTCGTTAGCGGCGGTCAACCATCCGCAGAGTCCGCATAGTCCTCACAGTCCCCAGCTATTGGTCCATCATGGAAGCCTAGGTAGTTCTGGGCAACAACATCCCGCCACGATGGGGGCCGCAACAGGCCTGGCAGGGTCTGTGCCTTCTACAATTGCTCCGGCGCGATACGACGATGACGCCTCTTCCGGCGCGCCGTCCAGCCCGCTTCCGCTAGGCCATCCTTTAGCTTCGGGTACGCCTTTGCTTAGCTCGGGTTCCCTGGCCGTAGGGCCTACCGGTCCAGGCAGTGCAGGACACGACCGAGCATTTCGCTGTTCCGACTCGACCGGTCAGCTATCACCCGCCTCCTCTACGTCGTCCTACGCTCCACACGAAGGCAACAGTTCCGTTAGTCTCTACGGGGAGTCCATCTACCCCGATGTGAAGGGAGGTCCGAAGATTATCGATGAACAGCAAACATTGTACCATCCTCAGGCTAGCTATCCTCCACAAGTCGTCCCTCAGATCCCTCAAACGCCGCAAGGCTACGTATCATCGATAGGTTCACCAGGCGGCGGTTACTACAGTAGTTCTGTACCTGTTGACGACTTCAAGCTATATCCGCCAACCACCGTAGGCAGTTACAATCAGCAGAGTGGTCCTCCACCATCGGGCTGGTTTGTCGCCCCCGGATCCACACAGATCTCTCCGCCAGCGTCACCTGAAACACAGGTCGCTGGCTGTGTGTACTCGACGGCACCGGAAAATGGCTCACAGTATCCCCGGATAGTCACTCCCCCGTCTTCTCCTCACCTATCAGCTGATCTCCTGGTCAGTACGTCACCGTCGGTTATGGCGTCCCCCACGTGTGCGCCGCCTGCCTCGACGTTTTGTCCCAGCCTTTTGAGTCCGGCCCTGAAGCGCACCGTAACACGACGCGCTGGCACTGGCATCGGCCGACGATCGAGCATCTCCGAGGGAATTACGGGCATGGCTGGGTCAGCCGCAGGCAGCATGGGCGTGCTAGGGGGCGCTGGCAAGAGCAAGAAAGTCACGATTCACACCTGCTCGCACCCAGGTTGCGCGAAGACGTACACCAAGAGCTCACACCTGAAGGCCCACCTGAGGACCCACACGGGTGAAAAGCCTTATATGTGCACCTGGAAGGGATGTGGCTGGAAGTTTGCCCGTTCAGACGAGTTGACTCGACATTACCGCAAGCACACTGGCGACCGGCCGTTTCAATGCAGGCTTTGTGAAAGAGCTTTCTCTCGCTCTGACCATCTGTCGCTGCATATGAAGCGACACACGGTGGTCTGAAGGGAGAAACGCTCCTCCAGGTGCCCTGGTCCTCTCTGCATTTAGGCTCACACAGGCAAACAAACAGTTATAGACAGACAAATATCCGGTAGTCCTATATCCGTTGTCTAACTATATCTGTTTCTTAGGTATACTATTCGCAAACCTGCAGGATAACTGAAGCTAGAGAAACAACCAAACGAATTAGAATCTTTCTTAATACAATTGCTGTCTCCAGTTATGCTGTTCAAAAATAATAAACATTTACTTTCCGTTACACTAGCCCAAGTGCTTCGCAAATCAGTTCAAAAGCTGACTGCCATTGATAAAGTTAGGAACCTGGTGCAGCAAAAGGTATTTTTGTAGATTTAGGACCCTGTATGTCAATTATTCTATATTTACTTATATCTCCCTCTCACGGAATTCGTGTGTGGTCTCATCGTTCCCCCGACAAGTACTTCCATATAGCTATGTATCATTGCAAAAACCTATCATATTATTTAGGGTGCTAGAATGCATTTTGCATCCACCTCTACCGCATCTCGTTCATTCATTCGACTGCTACCCGCGAAGTTTGTTTCGCAGCGACAGGACTCTGAAATCCTACCTATATTTGTCCATTATACAAATCTCAAATGGTATGACGTATTGCCGGTCATTGTCAGGTAGAAACATGTATGTACGTATAGCCGAAATCCAAATCTAAATAGACCCTGCGAGTATACAATCCCATTTACTATTGGTACTATATAATCCTGTATAGAACATAGCTGTATAAAGATAAGCCGAACTTTTTCAACATCACGCGATGTCCTGCAACGCCTTACTCTCTCCACAAAGTAACAATACGTGAACTGACCTAACGAACCTATCAAGCCTAACTTAACTAGCCTACCAAGTTTAACCCAATTTACCAAGTAAACAGTGCCAGACCAGGATGCCTTTGCCAGTTGTCGTTTACCTGCGTACAAAGCCTCTCACTGAAACGTGGCCACAGAAGGTTGTCAGTGGAGCGATGCGGCAATGATCTCGAACGGCCCCAAACGATATAAGTAAACAGTCGCGTTGCCTTCGATTCGCAACTCATATAATTGCCTTCGCTGGAGTTCTTTGACCATCGGTCGGGTACACTCATATCTCAGTCACCCGACAGGACCGAAAGAAAAGATACGGAACAAAGGACTAAGGAAAAAACGTCCCTTCGAAAAACTGATCTGGTCCCTCGGTTTTGTCCAGTCGACGACCTCGACCCGACTTCGACGACCGGAAGAAAACTGCCTCACAAAGACAACTACTAATGGGAATTCGTTCGACAAGAAAATGTAGAGATCAAATGCATTTTGCCCCTGTGCGGAGTAGAGCAATTATGTGTATAAGATGTGTGCCGCAATGATCTCGGAAGATGAAAGAAAAAATTCATATATATATCATAATGTAGACGCAGAAAAACTGTTAATACAATGTAGTGAATGTTAACGGAATTGGACTCCAGCGAGAGCAACGCATGGCCAAATATTGGAGGAAAGCCAATGCTCTTTCCCAATAATGTGTCGCGTATTCATCGGGGCCACAACTAGTCATTTAGGTAGTATAACTGAGAGAAAGGTCTGTTACTAGCGACGGTGGTAAACTTCAGTGGCATATATATATATATATATACATATAATCAACGTTCATCGTTGTAAGAATCTATGGTACAGAACGCAGAAACAAACAACAACGGGAAAATACAAAATAGGAGCAAATAAGCAAGAATGAACACTTGCCTATGTCATGCGAAGCAAAATAATACAATATGGCTTTATTGAAAAATTACGAAGGCCAAGTATCTCTATGAGTATGACTTACGATCTTGCAATTTTCTCCAATCGCCAGCTTCGGGTGCCTTCGCAGACCGTCAGCGCCGTAATACAGTAAGCGAGGCTGATAAATACGACCAACCTACATAAATAAACAAACGCGAAATTATCCAGTTGTTGCAAGTGCATCCAGTTGCCGGCCAGCGGCGATGGTGTTCGCTGCAAAATAGCCAACAGATCTGTGTTCACCCCACAAGATTCAGGGGACCTGCAACCTGTGCAGTTATTAGGTACGTGATACCGGCGAAACCCGAACACTGCTGATGTCAATTGTATAGAATAAAATGACAATAATAATAATCATCATAATGATAATAATAGTAGTAGATCAATACACACACAGACAGCCAGAGCGGCACTACCGGACAACGCAAGGCATAACTTTTCCTTTTTTGGCGGACGGAACAATAAATTTAGCGCGCGTAATTTCAAAAGGGCAGCGAGTATTGCTCTGTAAAAAAAAAAAAGGAACATTATTATTTGCATGTCTCGTTTATGCGCCTGTGCTCATGTGTGGCTGTTAGTAAGTTACTATAGAATAATGCTACTATTGCAATTCTGCTATTGTGGGCCTCACATTTATATATAGCCCCACATGTTGCAAGTCGGCATCACCATCAAGCGCCTTGTTTTTTTGTGAAAAAAGTACTACAGACTAATAATAATGATGATAATAATAAGATGATACGAGAAAAATAATAACGCAACAGGCCCGCTACCCGGTAACCCCCCAAACAGCTGATAAAGTGACTGAAACTGGTGTCTACTTGTGCGCCCGTGAAGGACCAACACATCGTATTATAGATGCTGATGACAACTGCAACAACAATAACAATGCTAATCGATAAGTTATGGCATAACTTGTCAAAGTGTAAACAATTTCCGTCAGCGAGCTTTCAGTTACTTGCCGTTCACTCAGTCACTCGTTAGATTACACAGACCTTCAACTACGGATTATACGAACAAATTTTTCAAAGCGATAGAGAGGTAACAAGGCACAAATACGAGCGTATCTGTATGCTATGAATATCTGTGGCCCAATAAAGTGAAACCAACTCATGAGGACATCGTCATCGTCCAGCTCCCATCCGGAACACGTTCGACGGCGGGGAGATTCGAAGGCAAGTCGTCATAGCGTTCAGAACCGTGTTCGTATTATAATTTCATGAAGTAATACAGTACGATTATGGTAATAAACTTCCCGCGCAGACCGAGGGCCGTCGTCGGCCGCGTTGCCATCACATTAACAATGAATAAAAAAATTACCTACATTTCGGTAGTGATGTCTATTAGCAAACGTTCGTGTGAAGTTGAAAACGGCGATCCACACCGCTTACAAAAGCTTTAAGCTTGCTTGTTTGTTGCAACGATAATTTGCTCTGTTAGCGTACACAACGATTGAGGGCGAGCACGTAAGGCTGATCATCTTCAGAGTTGGTGGTTACCCGTTAAGAGCTTACGGGCCCACTCGATGGCGATCAGCGTACTTTGCCGTGGACCCTAGATACCAGTGTTGCGTCTATGACGACGACTCTTACCATCAGGTCACAGACATAAATTTCCGGGGGATTCCGCGTACGTGGATCATTTCGTCAGGCAACTGCGGTTCGAAAAGTGTCGCTTACGACCAGCAACGTCCACTGACCCTGAAATGCCTGTATATAACTGTACATAAAGAAGCATATTGTCGAAATGACCAGTCCGATAATGAAACGAGAATAACTAAACATAGCAACTATTATATTATTATCATTATTATTATCGACAAATTCAATCGTATAGTAATAAGGGAGCAATGCAAAGATAACGAGAGTAAAAGCTAATAATATTATCATCAATGATAACTATTTCAACAATAATGATATAAAGACAGTAGAAGTAATAAATATACTATTATATTTAGGTAGAATTGACGTGGCGAAGAGATAGAGAAGTAAGCATGCGGGAACTACAACATGAAGTCAAAAAAAGCTCCGCTAGAAAGGAAAATCGTATGCGGCATGTTTCAAATGAACCCATAATGAGACAGAATGGCCCGCCGTTATCTGGGAAGGTCAAAGCGGCTCGATGACACCCACATACACACGACCTTCGTCCTTTTACACTTCGGTGATTTTGTTCGGTTAAAAGATGAACGGCACTCAAGTTAGCCTTTCGCCTGAGTCGCTAGATGACAAGCGAGTTCATTGATCAACGTTGTTGTAACTGTGTCATCGGGACCCGTTTCGATCATCTCAGATCAACCAACCTCCCGATCAAATACTTTCGGCAGCAGCAGCGGCAGGAGTAGTAAACATAGATAATAAGCGAAAGGCATAGATATTGTACTATTTAAAGCAGCTATGGCAAGCTGATGTCGAGTCGAACATGGCACACAATAACAAGTTTCTCACTTACATGTCTGCATTTGACGGCGTGGCCAGCAATAGTCTGTCCTTCGATATGACCTTGCGCCAATTCATCGATTGGTACAACGTCAATGATACATAAGATGTTGGAAATTGTCATTTATTCAGTTTGTAAATCTAGATACGACGATTTTAACCTATCCAGTTATCTAGCTGGGGTCCAAAAAACCTACGTATGAATCGACTGTGCTTGAAAGACACAATGCCGAAAAAACATTGCGTTTCAATCTAACTAAGCGGTGTACCCGCACAACATCCGACCGAACATAATAAAGCGTATTGTACTTTTAGAAAATTCATTCCCTATTGGCTTTGTCATTCGTCACTGTCTCTCTATGTAGGTCGGTGTAGCTATAGGTCAAGTCTAGTGTCAAAAGATCTGATGGGACCAATACGATGCTCGGCAGCTGAAAGCCCAGCCTGGTGAGGTTTTTGTGGGGTAATGTTGTAGTATGATTTGTCATTTAGTGGCTTTTTGGCTGGGCCCAAAAATAGTTTTGAATTAGTCAAAACGCATACGAATGCAATGTTATGTAGTCGAAATAAACGAGCCAGTGGCATTGAGTGTAGGGCTAAGGGGTTCCTCAATAGCGGCTATGTCTTGACAAGTCTGTAGAAGTCGGTACGAAACATATAATGTGGCAGCAGAACAAAAAACGAGATGGAACTCGGAAAACAGAAGTGTTTGATTCCACGTCGGAACGCTGCACGATTGTAATGTTGGCTGTGTCACTGAAATTTGCTCGTTCATTCGCTGCTGACAGCAAGAAAAGAAGTGAAATGCAGAGAGAGCGACGAAGAAAGTTCGATTTGAAACCTTGGTGTCCTGCTCATCGGCGCAGATCAGCTACATCGATCTTTTGTATCTAGGACTTTGCTTCGACCTCATCTTGTCGACGGCTGGGGGCCTGGCGACACTGCCGCTACCTGTCCTGTTATCGTTAGTTTCGTGTCCTGCCTTCCTGACTGTTTGCCTCTTCCCCTCCGTTGACCCCTCTGGACCTTCTAACGTTGATAACCCTGTCGCTTTGTGTTTGTGCTTCATCTCTTCCGAAGTCACCCCTCGGCGTTTTACCAAAACTTCGTCTATTATGTAGCTTCTACACTTTGTGCCCCACAAACTTGTCATCCTCATCCGATGTGTCCCCAGCAGCATTCATACTCTCAGTGTTAGCACAGCATTTTTCACGTCTTTTTCGCCCGCCTGCAACTATGCCGAAATGGCGAACAAGCTGGCAAGCCATCTCGAAGCTTGACACAGTAGCGCCAGTAAAATCATCACCGGCAGAGACAGCGGGACGCTAGTCTGCCCGCCTAGCGAGTAGCAGTGCAAGCAAATCAATCAGCTAGGTCTTCCCCGTGCCTGAGTTCCTGACTGGCTTGCCAGGGGCCCCAACTCACTGGACCCTTCACTCATTCCCTTCCCCTACGCAATCCAATCTTACTTCGTAAGCCCCACAGGTGTACACGATTCGTGCGATCCCTCACCTTCTCCGGCGAGCATTTTCCTGGTGCTTTGAGGTCTGTCGCTCATTGAGTTGAGATGCTGGTTTGTAGTGAGCTATGGGTCTCCTCCTCGTGCGCGTGTCACAGGCACCCGTGATCAGCTGGGGCTCCATGAGCAAGGAGGCCCACAGCTGGGCGCTCACTGGAGCTTAATAGGGGAGGGCGCATCATAAGCACGCTGGGCGTGGCTCCAAGTGACCCCACCACGCTAACCCCAAACCATTCCCTGTTCAGACCGCTCTCTCCCTTTTCTTTGAAGCCCGGTGGAGCTGTTTAGGACCGTTGTCGTCAACCTAGCGTATGGTATACAAGAGGGACCCTGAAGATAGGGAAACAAGCCAAACTGAGGTGTGCCAACTCACGGTACGCAGCAATGACTGGTGATTGTTGGATGCCAGTGAGAAACAAGTGCGAAATTTTCAGAGATCGGGCAGGTTGCTGAGTGGAAGATGGCGGTGAAATCAAAACGATAGTGGTGCTACCCTAAGAAAGAAATCAAAAAACAGCTACAAATGTTGTTGGAATTGCCTGTCTGCAGAAGTATTTCCAAAATGAGATTTAACCAGCCACCTGCAAACACACTACCGACTAAGGTGAGCTGTCGACGCATAGGTCAAAATATAAAAAAAAAAAAACCAATACGACTAATTACAGACAAAAAGGGTATGGGCAACTGGTGGGATCTAGGTAGTGGGGTGGTGAAGTCCGTGATGGCACGCTGGCACTGAACGTAGGGTCACGTGAAGCGGCCTAGGCTCGAAACGAACATAAGTATACTCCGCTTTGTGCTGAAAGGGAGTAAGCGTCAGCAGCAATTCTTGACTAATGCAGTACCATACATTCAGCTAACGAAACATTTTTTATGTAGTGACAAGTACGAATTATATGTTATATATTGACGGTCATTTATGTGCTTTATCATGGACATTATTCTTTAGGGACTTGCCAACATTTACCAGACAACCGGGCTTCACCTCCCTGGTGGTTCAACGACAACATTTTTACCTTATAACTTAAGAATACGAAATGGTCAAACGTTGAAACCGGGAGTAGGCGCTCTCCGTTGTGTGTTGGGAAGTGCCAGCCGTCTGAAATGCGTAACGCTAATATTGGATATGAAACTTAAAGTATTTATTTACACGGTTAAGATTTAACTGTGAAGCATTGACATTGTACTTCGTACTATTATAATTCATTCCAAACGCAACTACGGAAGAACTTCACTCTTGTAAATTGTTTGTAATAGATAGTGTTTTTAGTGTTTTTTCTTAATCTGTCAGTATATCTGAGGTAATAACCTAAAAAAAATCGTTTCAAACACATTCGTGTTCAAAATATCAGCGTGAGGGTATCTGGTCAATTTTCGTGGGTGTTAATGCGGAAACGTAGCGTCTACCGTTTTGCACAGATCATGACGTGATGCATCGCGTGGCTAAAAGGGGCTGTTCGCAGTAGTTGAATTCGACTGCTACAAAGACATCACAAGACGGCAAATTTGAACGGATTATCACAGGCGGTAACAAAAGTGAACCGTGGGCAATAAGTGGGTCGACAAGAGCCAATGTCGCCAAGAATGGAGGGCTGGGGCACTTCGTGCGACGATCGCAGCACGAAGACATCAATTTGAATTTATGAAATAGGAACTTATGAAAAAAAAAAAGCCACCAGATGACGATTTAGACTAAATTTCAACTTACGCCAAGCTCCAACGCCTCTGCCGTTAACGTTGACTAAGAACGAAGCTGCCAGCAACATGGCATCCATACCAGTCGGTCAAGCAAGCCTTTTTGAACAGTAACAGAAGATAGGCAGCATCGTCACATATCGGTCGATGGATGTATGATGACTTGATAAATAAAACTTTGTTATTAAACAAAGTATATATATATATATATATATATACTTCATTATTGTTAGGTTTTATTGCGACATGCCGCTATAATTGTGCCGGGGGAGAAGGGGCGGCGGAACGCGGTTATGCCGGGGTCACAATGGTGCTTGGACTACCGTAACAATTGCGTGATAGCGATGATTCCGTCATCCGCGATGCCGGATGGTTTGGTTGATCGATGATTTTACCAGAACCTATTAAATGCCTTGCTTATGTATAAGGCCACACTGAGGACCTGCAAATTCAAGTCGCGGTTGCTTGTACCGCGACCCATAATAACAATAATGTAATAATTGCGGTGTCGCACATCAAACAATTTAAGTTTAATAATCTTATTATTCTTCACTCTTTCAAGAGCCAACGGGCTACAGCTTGGGTTGGCCTCTTACAATTCAGTTTTTCTTCATATGTCGTTGCTACAGCAGTTGGTACAGATGAAAACCAACCCTTAGCGGTGCGTGGTAATATTTTAGAACGATAAATCTTTTGAAAGCAAAATACGGCAGACGAAAATCTTCATCTATTATTATTATTATTTACGAAGAGACGATCCTTTTCCTAGCAATTCTTTGATTTCGACACGACCCCGGTCAACTAATGTTTAACGATTTCAATCAGTTCTCGTCTAAAGGTAGCTGATACTCGGATGTATTCTATTGCGCCGGCGATAAACGCATTCGCGACAGATTCGTGGCTTGTCCCATCGTTTGCCCCGCTCTCCTGTCCCACCCGTTCCTTTCTTCAGCTGAAACCACTCCGACTGAAACTACCCTTCGACGCGAGACCCGTATTGTGGTCAACTGAACGAAGGTAGCGTCGTTTTGTGGTCCACGTTTGTTCCCTTCCCCTGTAAAATATCTAGAAGAGCAGACCAGACATCTTACAGGCTTTATTTATTTCACAATGTAATCCACTAGTTTATCCGACATGTGGCGGTGAGACGGAGCTGTGAACACCGCAGTTAAATTGACAGAACAAAGCTTTCATAAATCACCAGATCCCTCAGATTATCTGATACCCATATTTGCGCCTTCGTATTCTTTTCTGCTTCGATTCAGATGTTTCAGCAGAGATGATTTAGTTATTCGATCGAAAACAAGAATAACCTGCCATTGAAGGTGATCCCTCTGAAATCTGTATGTTGAGGTGCCAGAACTCCCAAACGTTGTTTGCCGCTCAACCGTTGGAGAGAAATTCCCTACATTACTATAACTTTTCATTGAAGATAGCTCGCCTTCCTGATCATATACGCCTCCATTTAGACATGTTGCATGCTATATACGAACTGGAAACAGAATCGAGGGGTGACGCTTGTAAACATGTAAAATTACTGAAGGATAGAAAAATACATTAGTGCATTTATATAGGAATAAGTGCGCATTTTTTTTCATTTGTATTATTCATTTTTTTTTTTGTAAAGTGAATCTGTTAATAAACGTTACAAACGTATCTTATGGAACTGCGATAAATATACTAATCGTGCGGTTAGAGTAAAAATAACTCACTCATAGGATCACATTGCGAGTAACACCACTTTATTAATTAAAGTTTCTGACAGAAAAAAATCCTTCCAAGCTGTTAGTTATATCGGGCGCGAGAGAACTGTACTATCTAAACCTACTTGCAACTTCTTGATTCGGGAATAATAACGCCTTTTTATTTTACGTCGGAGCTACCTACCATTGTGTCATCAGACTAAGAGCCAACCAATGAACATGCGTATCGACGCTCCACGTCATCAAAATAATTCTTCTTGCTTACCATTACTGTGTCTGTTCCCGACCGGATACGGCGGTTTGTACAAGCAAGCCCCTTTTTTTTTACTGAAATGTACGCCTAACTTTTGCTGTAATTCCGATCAGTCAAGGAACAAAATGAAATTGTACATCGTCCATGACATAC